TAAATAGATATATGAAGAAACTTAGAGATAGTTTGACATACAGATAGCAAGTAACTAGAATAGATAGATAGATAGATAGATAGATAGATAGATAGATAGATAGATAGATCTAATCAAAATAATTTGAACATATATTTATGGCTTCAACGAAATATATTTTGAACGCAATTATATGCTTGCCACTAAATATATTTTGAACGCCATTTTCTGGCTTCAACTACAGATAAGATGTATTGTAGGTCCTTTTTTATAAAATAAAGTGTTGGTAATTCTACTATAGAATATATTGCTCGTAATTTTCTTATAAATACGTATTGTTTGTATTTTTATATAAAATTATATTTTGCTGTTATGTTTATTATAAAAATGTATTTTTATACTTTCAGTGTTATTTATTGTTTGAAGTAGCAATATTTGCTCATAACTGGGACCGTAACAGCTGCAACCCCCCGAGTTAGAATGGGCGTGGAAAAATCAGTAATTAAATGGTTGTTCTACGCTCCTCAAACTTTCAATCTCCAGACCAGTTTATCGAAGATACCCAGGACGAGATAGATAGATAGATAGATAGATAGATAGATAGATAGATAGATAGATAGATAGATATGAACAGACGAAGAAAGAAACTGAGATAGTTGGATAGATAAATATATATATAGAGAGAGTGAAACAAACTGAGATAGATAGATAGATAGATAGATAGATAGATAGATAGAATAGGATGGAGACTGAGATGAGATAGATAGATAGATAGATAGATAGATAGATAGATAGATGAATAGGAACAGACTGAGATAGATAGATAGATAGATAGATAGATAGATAGATAGATAGATAGATAGGAACAGACTGAGATAGATAGATAGATAGATAGATAGATAGATAGATAGATAGATAGATAGATAGATAAACACACTGAGATAGCTAGAGAGAGAGCGAGAGATAGCGAATACACTTAGATAGATAGATAGATAGATAGATAGATAGATAGATAGATAGATAGATAGATATGAACAGACTGAAAGAAAGACAGAAAGAAAGAAAGAAGCAAAGAAAAAATGAGATAGATAGATAGATAGATAGATAGATAGATAGATAGATAGATAGATAGATAGATAGATAGATGTGGGTGAAGGGATGTAGAACGATAGAAAGAACAAGAGATGACAGATGTCTCCTTTATACACGGGAATAATATGTTTCCTTCAGAGAAAATAATTACATTCATTTATCTTAAAAAGTGCTGAGTGCTAACAACGAAGTTGTATGTTTTGGTCTGTCAACAAAACAAAAAAAAACAAAAACAAAAAAAAACGATATAGATTAACTTAGGTTGTTTTTTCGAGTTTATCTGAAATCACGAGCTTCAATTTTGAAAGAGGGCAAGCGTTCCTTTCCGACTTGAAATACTGACGCAACACAATCTGTCGAACATTATTTGTCTTATTTCTTTTTCTCGTTACCAAATCCGTCGAAACACGGTAAATACTCTCTTCTCTATGAGCATAATCTCGAATCCAAATTTGCTAATATATCAATCGATAAATGCTTGCCAGAAACGAAATATCAATTTTATGAAAATTATAAGAAGAAAAATTCGGACAATTTTCTACGTTAGAAAATACGTCAAAAATTGCAGTCACCAAAAATTTGAAAGAAAACGTGACATGGTCTGGCGGTGCGTATATAAGTAGACAAATGTCACTAGGCCAACAGTCAAAACAATCCAATACTAGTTCGGGCTTATAGCCTCGCTATTAAAGCAAGCTGCACGACGGTTAACTTAACACCAGCAACAGAAACTCTTTATTAGACAGACTGGCTGGTTGAAATGATTTGAATTATTTGTTCAACGGCATACCTACACCTTATGGGTCATTTAATACCTAAATTTAATTTTCTTGGAGGCTTTGAAGTAAGAAAAAAATTTGATATAAGTTATTCTGCTTTCACAGTTGAATCCATGGTAGATGATACTCAGCTTCTGTGTATATACATGTTTGTGTGAACGTAATTACTAGAGACAGGGATATCTGTGTTTTATGTTGTAGTTTTGTTGAAGTTTTTGGAATACACTTTAAGAACTTGTAGGATATTATATGGATTAATGTCATGTAGGAGTTCTTTCATGTTGGTTATTTGGTTGATTTTGTTTAGTGGCATATCAACACATCTATGGTTTATTTAATGCCGGAATCTAAATATTTTGAAAACAATTTTATGTCTTCAATTAAATTTATTTACGAACGTAATTGTATGCCTTAATCTACAGGTAAAATGTTTTGTTTGACATTTTGCTATAAAATGTTAATTCTGTTAACATTTTATAGCAAAATGGCAATTCTATTATAAGATTGTACTGCTGATTATTTTGCCTTAAAATATCTTAAAATACTAAAAAGTAAATTTATTTAATAAATTCGTCATTAGACTCAACCACGGCCTTCAGAGGTCTTTACTAACTCCTAACACCTCTTCTGTGCGATTCCCTTGTTTAAGTTGGTGAATACTGCCATAATTTTTGCCTCCAGGTAAAATTTGACGTTACAAGGAGGTTTGTTGGTATCTCAGTCAACTGCGCCTCACACATAATAATCAAGGCGTTTCCAGTCTTGGGAGTTAGGTGGCCAGATGTAAGAATTGGTGATGTAGCAGAAATTGTCTGACAACTATGACAGGGTTCTCTTGCTTTTGTGGCATGGTGCAGAGTCTTGTTGCCAGACACAGCGTCTTCCAACGGCAAAAATATATCCAATCATGGCCTCGGTGACGAAGAGATTCCAGTAAGAGCGGATTGGTGAGAGTAGTCTTGGCTCCAGTGGGCACAGTCCTATGGTTACAGAGAACGCAGTATGGTTCCACCACGGAATATGTGAGCGAGCAGCGCTATGTTGAGTGTGATTTGCAATCTCTTCGTCACCGAGGCCCAGTGGAACAGCTGGCATGATGTTTGCTTGCTAACCTAACTGTCAGGGTTTCAAATCTCGGTAGTGGATGCGCACTCCTGATGAGTCCCAAATGTAGGACGAAACGGCCGTCCAGTGCTTTCTGCATTCTGTTGAGGTTTCTATCTGACTCGATGAATTAATTAAATATAGTTATCAAATCCTCCTAATTACTATATATGTATATATACACATATGTATGTATTTTATATACCAAACACAGTATTGGGAAAATTGTATGACAAAGTAGAAAACGATTATTTGTAAGTTGTAATTAATTTTTTTTTCACTTTGACATACAATTTCCCCAATATATAGAGGTTGAATATTAGCCTCCAAAAAATAATTAATTCGGTCGAGCACTGTGGGGAGAAAAGCGCGAATTTGTCAGTCACTATTAAAATAAATGCGCAAAAATTCGCTTTTTTCCGTGCCGGGGATCGATAACTTAGGGGTTAGAATCAACGACTGATGCCTAATCGGTCCCGGCTTGAATGTCGGATGTCTAGCCACACTGAGGAGTTGTGTGATACAGCGAAACAGTCTATATATATATATATATATATATATATATATAACGGAAGTGTTGTAAGCTAGTTCAGGAGAATGAAAACTCGCAAGAGAGAGAAAGTCTACGGAAAATCACACCAATATATTTTTTTCGCAATTCCGTAATGCAATTTACATACCATAAGGTCAAGGCATCTGTGGAGAGTTGATGATCGCCCACGATCTGAAATTACATAGTCCTAAAAAATATCTGTTGTTGTTTCCGCGAAAATCAATAAGAATTATTATTTGGGGAATAATAGATTGATTTTAGTAATCAATCGAACGCTTCATCATCAATAACTGTCTTTTTTGATCTTCATTAATCGGCGCCATATTGATTCAGTGAATAATCGTAAATCAATTTACGGATAATTAAATGACAATAAATTTATGTGGACAGGATTTCCAATAGTACAATCAATCTTAACAAATATGCAGGTTTAACAGCCAGAAACACAAACAATAATATTAATCGATCTAACAGCACACATAAGAAAACGAAGAAAAGGACAAATAACGTAATTCCCCATGTATAATACGCTTTTTTTTTTCTAAAAAAAAAAATAAACAAGATCAGGGGTGCGTATTATAGACAGCAACAAGAAATCTTTTAAAAATTCCCATACAATAAAATAAGAATTATCGTGAAAATAAATTAGAATAATATTAACCATTTTTTAACTAAGAGTAAGAAACGCTGGCCGTAATGAAATTGGAGAGGTACAATTTATAGGGTTTGATTACCAAACAAGGGATGCGTATTATGCATGAGTAGAAGCATTTTTACATACTTTCAGCACAATTGTAGGTGTGCGTATTATGGATGAAGGCGTATTATACATGGGAAATTACGGTAATCACGACGCCTGACACGTACGCACATCCGCGCAGACGAGCGAACGCATACACCTAAACAAGCAAACGCAAAAACAATTGCACTATTGATAAGAGCATATAAAAAAACTCGAGTTATATGAGTAATCAATTTCTGATATCCACTGAAGAGTGGATGGACGGATCCGTCTACGAAACTCTGGAGTTGGGATGCTGAATGCAAGATCAATCTGCTAATTGACAAACTTGTACTTATATTAATTCTCTGTCTCTCTTTCCACCTTTCTCTCTCTCTCTCTTTCTCTCTCTCTCTCTTTTATATATATATATATATATATATATATATATATATATATAGATAGATAGATAGATAGATAGATAGATAGATAGATAGATATGGCATTCGTCGGTCTCGAGATACGATGGATCTCCGGCCAAAGAGTTATATTTCAGGCGCTGATTGCAGCGCCGCAATTTTTATGTACAAGTCCACACGGGTGTAGCAGTCTTGATTGCAAAGAATGCATGTGAAGACTTTCTCTCCCGATATCACTGCGTTGTTTTCTTTCCTTCGAGCACACTTTCCCATGCGTCAAGCCTCCGTTTCTTCTCTCCTCGATCCAGCCATCGGTATAAATCGCACCTCCAGAATAAGCAATCATTGGTGAACTATCCCAACATCATGATGTCCATGTCCAATGTCCTCATGTCCCTTTTGCAGACGTCCTTGAAGCGAAGATGAGATCGCACTCGTTCCCTCTTGCCAGAGGCTTGTTCCCCGGACATGAGGACCTTCGGAATCCTCCAATCACTAGACTGTTGCTTTTTTTGTATTTTCGTCGCTGTGAGTCGATGCTGGAGTGTCCTCTCCAGAGCCCAGGTCTGAGCAAATTTTTATAAGAGATCGGCGGTTGGTCATGCTGCACATCTCCCTTCTACACGCCACCAAGGGAAGTGTAACGTCCAATACAGCTTGGCACTGATTCGTCGCAGGTATTGCCAGAAAAAATTTGACCATAACATCGGATTGTATTAGGGACACCTACTCCGACTTTTTTTCAGACTTTACTCTCAAAACTTTTCCAATGACTGGCTCTGAATATATATATAGACGTTTCTGTCTAAGCCTTTTTTTTCTGTTTAATGTAAATTACCTTTATAGTAAGGGATTTGTTTTCCATGTCGACAATATAGTTAAATTTCCAGATCAATTCATATAAACGTTTTATTTAATTTAAAATATATAAGAAAACAAAGACTCATTCCTTGAAAGTTTGTTTTTTTTCCAGATTTTTCTATGTTTAACATTTGGTCTGTCTTTCTGAAGACTCCAGAAATATCTGATAGCATAGCAGGACTCCATTTGCCTCTGTAACGATTTTCAATTCTTACAATATCTTGGTGGAACATTCCGCCACGTTCGTCGCTGATTACTGCATTCTTCGGAAAGTAGGGAAGATGTAAGTGCAAAAAAAGTGCATATTTATGGACATACTTCATCCTAAATTTAGATATGCCTCAATCATATTTTGAACTAGCATTTCGTAAATTAGTGCTTTGGCACAAAGCGCGAAATGAATTTGACAATCAATTTGAAGCAACATTAAATTGGAAAGCCCTTCCAAGGAGACCATCACACACGCCTTTGAATCTTTTCCAGGTTTCCAATTCTAGTTAGTTTAAAATTGCATCAAATTCATTGTTTTTCATGCGCTGTCGAAAAAGTTTCTTTCTTTATTTTTACATCACGAAACCTTGGAAAAATCGTTTGTAAATATAAAAATGACGGATTATCGCGTTTCACACTTTCCCAAATAGTTTCATTAAGCCCAAATTTATATGAAGTGATGGTAAAGTTATGTTTTCCTTGCTCACGAACGGTTCACGAATATCGTTATGTGAACCAATTTTTGACTCATTTTTTAATGGCTATTAACATAAGCCTTTGAAGTATTTCTTAATAGGCTGTTACACGCGCCTTTGAATCTTTCCCAGGTTTTATTTTATATGAAGTTATGGCAAAGTTATGTTTTCCTTGTCCACTAAGGATTCACGTATAACGTTATGTGAAACAATTTTTGACTCATTTTTTAATGGCTATTAACATAAGCCTTTGAAGAATTTCTTAATAGGCTGTTACACGCGCCTTTGAATCTTTCCCAGGTTTTATTTTATA